TCTATGCCCATAGCCACTATTTACCAATGTACGATTATTTTGTAAATAATATATCCAATGAAGGTTAATTAAGTCTAATTATTTTGGGGCCATGCGGCGCGTCTCTGTAGGTTTTTAGCTCTCCAAGCTGGGTATGGGGTCGCTGTTAATATATGCAGGTAGCCAGCGACCAAGGTAGGGTGGGCACGGTCGGTCGCCTTAAATATCAAAGGCCGACGTTCGCTGAGCAAGCACATATTTGCTTGCGAAGCGAGACCCAGCTTGGACGGGTATGTTTGTGTGTGTATAAATCTGTTCTATCTCTCTCTCTCTCTCTCTCTCTCTCTCTCTCTTCTTTCCTCTCTTCGAAGTAAGTGGCCGAAGACAATCGTTCGCACGCGATTTTTATTAATAAATATATTTTGGCAGCGCTAGGAGTCGCAGTTCCCCTCCTCTTACCCCTTCCCTTCTCCCGATGACCCATTGGCCGGATCCAGCGCGTGCACTGCTCCAAGCCTCCTACTCCACCATCAGCGCTTTATAATGTAACTCGTTACATATCGTTCGCTTAATCAGGCAGATGATAAAACATGAATGTATACAGTATATAGTATGATATGTGTGAGTGTATAGGAACGGTAGAGCAGAAAGTTAAGCACGTCTAATTGCGGTAATAAATGCAATAGTGCTTGTCGTTCAGTTGATGTCTGGCCTCAGCCCGGCCCGGCCCGGCCGTTCGGGTCTGTGTCAATAGTATATTCAAGACGTCGCTCTCCAAATAATGCTCAGACGTATTTCAGTTATTGACACGCGTAGACGCCGCGACTCGGGAGTGTGGGTGTATGCGAACGGGTAGTTGGATTTTAAACGCCCGATTATAAAGCTATTAAGTATTACTATAATAGCGAAAAACATAAGAGATAGCTCACTGTCAAAAATGGGCACTGATTTAGAAAATAAAGGTGAATATTATGAAGTGTGAAAGGATCAACGAAGTGTGAAGTGATATACAAATATGTTGGATATATCTATATCTATACAGTTTATATATTGAATATATGAACTGATTGGATAAGTGATTATATATAAATAAATTGTTATGAAAAACACAAAAATCACAGTGAAAAATGTTGTAAAGCAAGAAAGTTAATAAAAAAAAAAAAAAAAATTAAAAATAAAATTGGGCTAACACTTGCTACATAAGTGTTGTTATTTTCTAAGCAGCTGCAAAGTGTTGAGCAGAATTTTGGAATTTTAGAAGTATATATATGGGAATGAATATATTCATATTAACTAAATTTAAAATGTCAAGTAGTTGTTTCTTTTACTATACTGATTTACCACCTACTTCAAGAAGGTATTATGACTGGCACGTCTAAACGAGAATTTCTGTAGCTTTTATAGCATATCAGCATTCATTTATGACGTCTAATGAAGCCAATGACTGGCAATTTGAGTTATATAAAGTGAGCGAGGTTATAGAGATATGCCGATTAGGGTCTTAAAGCATCAATTATAGTTTACCCATTAAACTCCAAAAAAAAAAAAAAAAAAAAAACATGTAAATTACAGTATTAATTTCCTAAAAGATTAACTTAAAATTGTATATAAAATTATATATAGAGAGAGGTAGAGTCGTATATAAAGAGAGCAATGCAAAATTAAACAGCTGATCATGTCATAGATCCCTCCATAGCTAATTCATTCAATCGTATCAAATAGTAACAAACATGGCTAATTAAAAATTGTACAAGTTTTTCAATTTCAAGCATGTATCGATTACAACGCTCTAATTTGTCAAATTTGTCACAGAGACTTTGCTAATCTTGAACAATTTTGAAAAATCGTTTAAAACAGAAACACATTCGAATCATGTTTGCACGTTTGAACTATTAAATGAAATTAAATGATGCGTGGGAATGATAAGTGTAACTTAAAACATTGAGAAACTACAAAGAGTAGACTGGGTTATACCCTTACTTAGGTGAGATAAATGAAATATCGATGGGATAGGAAAAAGTAAAACTGAGAGAGGTAGAATGTGAGAGCAAGAGATGGAGACTGGGACTTAAAGAAAACACAATGTATGAAGATGGATTAAAAAATACGAAAATAAGAAAAGTTAGGGAGAGAACAGGGATTGAAACGGGTGAATATTAAAGGGGGAGAGAAAGATAGAAAGAGGGAAAGCTAGAGGTAACTAAATAGATATACAGATAGTGTAAGAGAGAGAGATAGGGAGAGAAAGAGGGAGAGAGAGAGAGAGAGAGAGGGAGAGAGAGAGAGAGAGAGAGAAGAAAATCTGTATAGAGAGTGGATAAGATAAAATAACTTTATGAGCACGAGAGATCCCCATTGAAATTATATACATATATTGTAAAAATGATAAAAATATGAAATATAATAAATAATCACTTACTATTATTGTCTTACCTCAATGTAATTGCTTTGATATGGGGATATCCGTTTCGTTTATCAATAGACGTCATAAATATTTTGCTGTAAATAATTTTAGTTCTCACGATTAGATTAAAACCAAGTTCTCAATCAAGGGAAAACACACTTTTAGGTTTATTGCAGCCATATAAACTTTTGTTTATTCGAGTACCATTGAACTTGATCGAAATCGATTTAGAATGTGATTTGCGATCCGCCTGAATGAAAACGACATGAATGACCGATAAAATGGTCGAATTGGCCTCGATCGTACTCAAAAATAATGCTTGACTTCATAACAAATATCAAATGGGTGTTATATATATAAATGTGTTTAACATATTCTAAAGTCAGCGACACTTGATGCATAAACGATCGGAATATACTATGAGAATAGTTGTGGGAATGAGTTCGAATGTGAAATACCCTGTATAAGTTAGTTGATGTTATCAGATCTACAAATTTTTCTAATGTCTTACTGTCTTATTATTCTCACTTGTCTAACTTTTCTAGTACTGGACTAGTTACTAATTGCAAATGAACTAGTTTGCTGACACAAATCTTAAACAGTTTCATAGTGTATGTATATCGGAGCTATTTTACTACTCCATTTGGCTTTACTTTTCTTACTGTAGGATTTGTCCTGCTTTCCGCATAGAAATTTGTCAATCTCTAATTGTAAATGAACTAGTTCGCTTACACAAATCTTGAACAATATTATACGGTATATAAATATATTTATCTCTGATTTGTCTTACTTTGTCAATTCTAAACTAATTTATCTCTTTTACTTCGTCCTCATTTTCCTCCCACCTTTAGGCCCTTGCCTGGGCATACGACATCTGCAGGCGGTGCTGCTCTTCTTGGCCATAGCTGTGAACTATATAGCCCGACTCAATGTCAGCGTGGCTGTCGTAGCTATGACAGATGCAGCGACCTCCAATCCAGATTTTCCGGTAAATTGACCTCTACACGGCATCTGTGATATACTCTAAATACCTCTCCGCTTGCAGGAATACGACTGGTCGGAGGCACAGAAATCCTATATACTGTCGAGCTTCTATTGGGGCTATATAGTGACTCAATTTCCAGCTGGCTTTTTGGTGCGTCGCTATGGCGCTAAGCTGGTGCTCTTCATACCCACCTTTGCGACGGCCTTGCTGAGCTGCCTCACCCCCGTCTGCATTAGCTGGGGCGGCTGGCTGGCGTTCAGTGTGCTGCGCCTGATAATCGGATTGTTTCAGGGCCTAATCTTTCCCTGCATTCACGAGCATCTGGCCAAATGGTCGCCGCCCAAGGATCGTAATCGTTTGGGCGTCTTTGCCTATTCGGGGTCCGATTGTGGCTCCGTTATGGCCATGGCTATTAGTGGCTTGATTGCCGAGAGTTCGCTGGGCTGGCCGGGCATATCGTACGTTTCAGCCGGACTCTGTGGCATTTGGTGCATCCTTTGGCTATTGCTCGCTGCGGATAATGCGCCGAGCTCACGTTTGATTGGCGACGATGAGCGTGATTACATTGAGCGTTCGATGAGGCGCAACGACGGCTTCCATGACCAGAAGATAGCGATACCATGGCGTGCTATTTGGACCTCGGCGCCGTTCTACGCCCTGCTCGTTGTGCGCAGCGCTCAGGGCTGGGCGAACTCAACGATGCAGCTGCAAACGCCGGCATACATGCACGGCGTACTCGAGATGGACATCAAGAGCAACGCCCTCTATTCGGCTCTGCCCTTCCTGGCCATGTGGTGCATGTCGTATGTATATTTGGCCATTGCTGATTTGATCATGGCCAGGAAGTGGATGTCGCTGACGACGCTGCGCAAGTCCATCAACACGATATCGTATTGGGGTCCGGCGGCCGCCCTGATTGGCATCGGTTTTCTTGACAAGAGCCAAACGAGCTTGGCCATTGCTCTGATGACAATTAACGCCGGCCTCAATGCGGGCTCCGGCATCGGCAGCATTTTGACCATAATCGACATGTCGCCCAATCATTCCGGCATGTTAATGGCCATCGTCAATGGCGTGGGCAACATCTTTCCTCTGCTGACGCCGCTGCTGGTGGGCGTCATTGTTACCGAGCCGGTAAGTTCGAGCCTAGTGCCTGCCGGGTTGCCCAAGATGGCTTTAAGTAATGTTGTAAATACCTTTAACTCAAAGGGTAGATTGCGTAGGTGTAAGCTTAGATGACCAATGGCACTTTCCTATATTTGAGTGGGAATCGAGTTGAGTTCTATAGAGCTTAGCCGGCCTGTCTATTAGTCCGATTGTCCTTCCGTCCGTCTACTTTTTATTCATTCAGCTGCTGGCAAATGTATTTGAAATTAGTTTTTTCTGTCAATCCGTCTTTATATTCATATTTTAATCTATCCGGTTTGCCTATCTATCCGCCTTCGTATTCGTATTTCTATCCGCCCTTTTATCCATCTGTCAGACAGATGTATATGCCTGTCTTTCTGTCTGTCTTATCAAATGATTGTTTATTTCCTAGTTTCTAATTATCCCTCTCAGTCTCTTGTATATCCGTCTTTTAATACACTACTGCATATAATTATATTTATACGTCTATTTGTGCATCTACTTATCTAACTATTTATCCGCATATTATCCGCATATTTTCCCATCTGATTATCTGTCTGTATTCCTTCCCATACTTATCCGACTGTTTCTATATTTTTCCGTTTATCCGTGCCATTGTTTCTTATCCGCCTGCTTATCCGTTCTTACTATTCTATCAATTTAGATATTGTTTGTCTATACAACAGCAACAGAAAACGTTTGCAAACATATTTTAGGGTATTTTCTAGTCGATTGCCTCGCATCTAATTTATTCTCAATTGTTTTGGATAATATCTCGTCGCTTTATCTATTTCGCAGAGCTCGCGCACTCAATGGCAAATTGTTTTCGCATTAACGGCCATTGTGTTCTTCATTGGCAACCTAGTGTACATAATTTGGGGTACGACTGACCAGCAGCCGTGGGATGCGGTTGACTTTCTCAAGCCGCGCGATGCCGAGCAACAGCAACAGCAACAACAACAACAGCAGCAGATGGAGCTATGGAAAGAAAAATCGAAAAGCGAAAAGGAAATCTAAATAGTAAATAGATGTAAGGCCAGATTAGCTGTGAACTGTAAAATAAGTAGAAATTAAGCAACAAATTAAATTAATATGCGGCGTGACATGCGGCGTATACGCAATGTACACACAAACATTGCGTATACGCAGTGTTCGGCATGATTCAGTCTTGACTGGCGGAAGAGAACAAAAATGAAACAAACAAAAAAGTGAAACGAAAAATGCGGTTAAGCATTGATTGTACTGAGCTGTGAGCCGGACAACTGCGTTGATTTTTAATTAAACATTTTTAAATCGTTTTTGCATATATTTTAATTTCTGGTTTGCCTCGCGCATCTTTCGCTGTTGCTTGCTGCGGCTTTACTATTTCTGCTTTGACATATAAGAAAAGTGAAAAGATCCTCGGTGCCTCCACTAAGCCACTCTTCGGATATACGGCTCTTCGGCTCTTCTAATATTTAATATGATCAGTAGCTTACCCACCAAAGAAAGAAGAAGATGAAGAGCACTCCACTAGACGTCCGATCCGAAGGAGTTCAGCTGACCCACTGATGTGGCGCTGGAACAGACTCGTCTTTACGTAGGTAAAAGTTTGTGTATTTTTCACTCAATTAAAATTATTTTTGCTCTTTTAACTATCCAATGGAATTGATGATTTATTATTTAATTGTTTTTAGATAATTTATTATTATTATTATTTTTGTTTGTTGCTTTTTTTTTTTACTTTTTACTGCATGGTAGCAAGTGTTATGTTAGACAATGTTATGTAGATGCTATCATTATATCACGTGTCATTTATTAAATGAGTAGAACACATTAAAAAACCAATATACTCAGTTCACTTTCGTGAATGAGTTTTAAAAAGCGAGCTAATTATACTCTCTAGCTTAATCTATAATAGCTTTACAAGTGAGTTACTGATTCAATAATACCTATTATTATTTATTTCACTTCTATTTTTTTTCTTTTACAATGTATTGTGAATTTAGTGGGACTACAATAAATAAGAGTGTAGTTAATTTTTAACTTTTTCTACTCAATTATTATTGTATGGGTTTTTAGTATGTATAGGTGATACTTGAATCTTTAGTTGTTATAAATTTAAATAGCTAAATTTTAATAAATATTTTCCATGTATTCAGGAAACATTTCTCATTTTTTTTTTTTCATATATTACCTCTATTTGCCATAGCAATAGTGGCAACTAAGGCTTTATAAATCATATCACTAATACTACTTTTAAGTGAAATTTTGATTGCATGTCTATGAGAGTATATTAAAATTTGCATGTATTTAATCATTAAAATAGTTATCCCAAGCTTCAAACGGGCACTAATAAAGCTGTTCTGATTCATACTCTATAGTATTTAAATATAAGCTTAGGGAAATTTTTATGGCATATTAAACCATAAATTTCCCTGCTCAAATATTATAAAGAACTATATTATTCCAAACTATTTTTTATATATTCCCCGTCGAACTTATGTAAAAAGTTAAGTCTCGGCCCGGCCTAGTCTTCTCTGCTCTGCTTTGCTCCGTTCGGGTCTGTGTTAATAGTATATTCAAGACGTCGCTCGCCAAATAATGCTCAGACGTATTTCAGTTATTGACACGCGTAGACGCCGCAGCTCAGGAGTGTGTGTATGCGAACGGGTATTTGGATTTCATACACATCATAAGAGATAGCTGACTGTCAAAAATGGACACTGAATTAGAAAATAAAGGTGAATATTATGAACTGTGAAAGGATTAAAAAATGAAGGATATATATAGTATGTGAACTGATTGGATAAGATTGGATAATGAACAAACTTTTATGAAAAACACAAAAATCCCATTGAAAAATGTTGTGAAGCAAGAAACTATTTAACTTATGGGGAAAAAGATAAAAAAAAAAAGAAATTGGATGAGTTGTCAAAAAATATGATTGACTTGTACTGCGTATGGTTTACACGAGTATGCATGCCAGATTTCTCTAGCTCCTATAACTTTTGGGATCTAGATGTTCATACGGACGGACGAGCGGACAGACGGACCGAGCTATATCTCAGTTCGTCGCCCTGATCAAGAATATTTTTATTTTATGGGGTCTGCGATGATTTCTGCCTGTTACAGACTTTTCACAAAGCTATTATACCCTAATTTCCCATTTTTAATGGGTTTAGTGTATAATGAACTTCTTCGTTCACACAGATCTTAAATAGTTTTATAGGGTATATAAAGCATGGCTGGTCTTATTATTTTCCATTTGTAGACTATGTAATCTAAACTCATATTTCTTACCTCGGCTCATCTCCTTCTTATAGGCCCCTGCTTGGGCGTACGACATCTGCAGGCGGTGCTGCTCTTCTTGGCCACAGCTGTGAACTTTATAGCACAATTGAATATCAGCGTGGTCGTTGTGGCCATGACAGATGCAGCGACCGCCAATCCAGATTTTCCGGTAAATTGACCTCTACCCGGCATCTGCGATATATGTACCTACCGACTCAAAATAACCCGGTCCACTTGCAGGAATACGACTGGTCGGAGGAACAAAAATCCTATATACTGTCGAGTTTCTATTGGGGCTACATAGTGACTCAATTTCCAGCAGGGTTACTGGTGCGTCGCTATGGCGCTAAGCGTATGCTCTTCATACCCACCTTTGCGACGGCCTTGCTGAGCTGCCTCACACCCGTCTGCATTAGCTGGGGCGGCTGGCTGGCGTTCAGTGTGCTGCGCCTGATAAACGGATTGTTTCAGGGTCTAATGTTTCCCAGTGTTCACGAGCATCTTGCCAAATGGTCGCCGCCCAAGGAACGCAATCGTTTGGGCGTCTTTGCTTATTCGGGTAGCGAATGCGGTTCTGCTATAGCCATGGCTCTTAGTGGCGTGATTGCGGGTAGTTCGCTGGGCTGGCCGGGCATATCGTACGTCTCAGCCGGACTCTGTGGCATTTGGTGCATCCTTTGGCTATGGCTCGCTGCGGATAGTGCGCCGAGCTCACGTTTTATTGGCGGCGATGAGCGTGATTACATTGAGCGTTTGATGGGACGCACCGACGGCTTCCACGACCAGAAGATAGCGATACCATGGCGTGCGATTTGGACCTCGGTGCCGTTCTACGCCCTGCTTGTTGTGCGCGGCGCCCAGGGCTGGGCAACCTCAATATTGCAGCTACAAACGCCGAGATATATGCACGGCGTACTCGAGATGGACATCAAGAGCAACGCCCTGTTCACGGCTCTGCCCTTCCTGGTCATTTGGTTCATGTCGTATGTATATTTGGCCTTTGCCGATTTGATCATGGCCAGGAAGTGGATGTCGCTGACCACGCTGCGCAAGTCCATCAACACGATATCTTTTTGGGGACCAGCGGCCGCCCTGATTGGCATCGGTTTCCTTGACAAGAGCCAAACGAGCTTGGCCATTGCTCTGATGACAATTAATGCCGGCCTCAATGCGGGCTCCGGCATCGGAAACATGTTAACCATTATCGACATGTCGCCCAATCATTCCGGCATGCTATTGGCCATCACCAATTGCGCGATCTGCATCTCTCCGCTGCTGTCGCCGCTGCTGGTGGGCGTCATTGTTACCGACCCGGTAAGTTCGAGCCTGAAGCCTGCCGAATACCTTTAGCTAAAAGGGAAGATTGCGTAGGTGTAAGCTTGTGGCGAGCAAACATCCATTATGCTATAACACTGATAGCATTTATCTATATTTGAGTGGGACTAGAATTGAGTTCTAGACAGCTTTGTCATCCTTTCTGTTGGTCCGATTTGCCTTCCGTCCGTCTACTCTTGTAATCACTCAGCTCTTAGCAGATGTGCTTGATAATTTTTGCAGGTGTGGAACTCTGTTCTTCCATTTCTTCTGTCTCTACTTAATTAAATGAATCTATTATCTCATTACTCAGTATCTATATGCATGAACTTCCATCTCATGAATACATGATTTTCCTTCTCTACCAACTACTTTTATCCGCCTATACATTTTATCTTCTGCATTTATCTGCCTAGATATCCTATCTATGTCTTTCTTTTCCTGTATTTAATTGTCACTCTCTCTATCTGTAGTTTCTCATTCTTATATATAATTGTCTATCTGCCTATTTATCCGTATTTATCCATATACATATGTTTGCCTGTGTATCTATTTTATCCACTGATTATGCTATCCCCTTTTTTCTTATCCGCCGTTCTTTGCTTATCCGTCTTTTCATTTGTATACACTAATGCATGTATATAATTATATTTATACTCATATTCTTCGTCTAAACTATTTATCTTCCATTCTTTATATATCCGACTATTTCTATAATTATCTTATACATGCTTATCAATGCTTATCCGTCTGGTTATCCATTCTATCATTGTGTATATCTGCCTTTCTCTAAATATATTTGTTTATCAATATAATTTTGATAACCCCAATGGCATAGGACATGTACTTAAATTATTATCTTCTTAGGATAGAAATAAAGTTTTAAGCGTGAATATAGCATTGCAGAGTTTCGAAAAGTCGTATACTCCCAATTAGCTCATAGTCTGAGTAGCTTCTGGCAGGTAATGAAAAAATTTGCAAACATATTTTAGGGTATTTTCTAGTCGATTACCTCGCACTTAATTTAGTCTTTATCTATTTCGCAGAGCTCGCGCGCTCAATGGCAAATTGTGTTCGCATTAACGGCCATTGTGTTCTTCATTGGCAACCTGGTCTACATTATTTGGGGTACGACTGACCAGCAGCCGTGGGATGCGGCTGACTTTCTCAAGCCGCGCGATGCCGAGCAGCAACAAGAAAAACAAGCAGCCACTGGAGCAATGGAAAGAAAAATCGAAAAGCGAAAAGGAAATCTAAGTAAATAGATGTAAGGCCAGATTAGCTGTGAACTGTAAAATAAGTAGAAATTAAGCAACAAATTAAATTAATATGCGGCGTGGCATGCGGCGTATACGCAATGTACACACAAACAAACACAAACATTGCGTATACGCAGTGTTCGGCATGATTCTTGACTGGCGGAAGAGAACAAAAATGAAACAAACAAAAAAGTGAAACGAAAAATGCGGTTAAGCATTGATTGTACTGAGCTGTGAGCCGGACAACTGCGTTGATTTTTAATTAAAAATTCTTAAATCGTTTTTGCGTGTATTTTAATTTCTTGTTTGCCTCGCGCATCTTTCGCTGCCGTTTGCTGCTGCTGCGTCTTCTTCTTCTTCTTCTGCTTGAGCCGCCGCAAAATGTAATAGAAAATTCTTGTTACTATTTCTGCTTTGAAATGAATTCATTTTCTATTTTTGGTATCTTTGGGCCACGCATTTGCATGGCCAGCAGCCGAGGCCGTAGACGACTTTCAGTCACTCAATGCNTCCCAATTAGCTCATAGTCTGAGTAGCTTCTGGCAGGTAATGAAAAAATTTGCAAACATATTTTAGGGTATTTTCTAGTCGATTACCTCGCACTTAATTTAGTCTTTATCTATTTCGCAGAGCTCGCGCGCTCAATGGCAAATTGTGTTCGCATTAACGGCCATTGTGTTCTTCATTGGCAACCTGGTCTACATTATTTGGGGTACGACTGACCAGCAGCCGTGGGATGCGGCTGACTTTCTCAAGCCGCGCGATGCCGAGCAGCAACAAGAAAAACAAGCAGCCACTGGAGCAATGGAAAGAAAAATCGAAAAGCGAAAAGGAAATCTAAGTAAATAGATGTAAGGCCAGATTAGCTGTGAACTGTAAAATAAGTAGAAATTAAGCAACAAATTAAATTAATATGCGGCGTGGCATGCGGCGTATACGCAATGTACACACAAACAAACACAAACATTGCGTATACGCAGTGTTCGGCATGATTCTTGACTGGCGGAAGAGAACAAAAATGAAACAAACAAAAAAGTGAAACGAAAAATGCGGTTAAGCATTGATTGTACTGAGCTGTGAGCCGGACAACTGCGTTGATTTTTAATTAAAAATTCTTAAATCGTTTTTGCGTGTATTTTAATTTCTTGTTTGCCTCGCGCATCTTTCGCTGCCGTTTGCTGCTGCTGCGTCTTCTTCTTCTTCTTCTGCTTGAGCCGCCGCAAAATGTAATAGAAAATTCTTGTTACTATTTCTGCTTTGAAATGAATTCATTTTCTATTTTTGGTATCTTTGGGCCACGCATTTGCATGGCCAGCAGCCGAGGCCGTAGACGACTTTCAGTCACTCAATGCCGAAAATAATCAAAAAAGAAAGAAAAAAATAAAGCAAATGCAAGAAATTCCCAAAAAAAAGGCAAGCAAAACGAAACTTTGCACACAAATCAGAAAAATGGACACTTGGCGGAATTTATGCACGAACGCGTGCGCACAGTACGCTCTCAGTCCGGGAATTGTTTGCCAGCAGGCAGGCAGGAGGCAGCAGCAGCAGCAGCAGCCAGTGGACATAGCCAACAGCAGCAGCAGCGGCAGCGGCTGCCGCCCAACAAGGCCAACAGCCATAGCCATAGCCACAGTCAGATCCTAGCGGCAAGTATGGCAAGTGGCATGTGGCATGTGGCATGTGGCATGTGGCATGCGGCATGCGGCATTATTTTTTGCCCCTCTCCTCTGCTTTCTTATGCTACTTCTTTTTTAGCCAGTTGCGCCGCCAGCCGCCCTCGAGCCGAGCACCCAAAAAACCAAAACTGAAAACCGAAAACTGAAAACCGAAACGAAACCAAAACGAACATGTTTTTCAATTAAAATCGTTGCGCAGCGCACAAAAATTCATTTGAATTGCCCACAGCGGATAGCAGCCAAAGACAAGTCATAAATGACCACTTTCATACACACACACCAGCACATACACAGATACACACACGCACACAAATACAAACACATGCATGTACACACGTATACATATATGCCAGCTCACACATATATAGACATGCACTAGATTGGTTGATCAGGTATCGCTTGCAGAGAAAGAGAGATTGAGAGTGGGACAGAGAGAGAGAGAGAGAGAGAGAGAGAGAGTGGGAGAGAGAGAGGGAGACACAGAGTGAGAGAGGAGAGAGAGAGAGAAGGAGATTTGATTTAGATAACGTCATAAATTTAATAGCTTTGTTTTCAATAATAATATTGAATATACGAAAAATCTTTGTAGCCAAAGTCAATTCAATTCGTTTGAAGCTTTCTAATTCCTGCTTTAGTAGTTTTAGACTCGATTCCATTGGCTCTATTACATATATCATATAGATAATCTATTGACCTACCTCATAGAGCTCCATATGCCCATATTCCATATTCCATATCCCATATTGCATATTCCATATTCCATATTCCATATTCCATATTCCATATTCCATATTCCATATTCCATATTCTATATTCTATATTCCATATTCCATATTCCATATGCCCATATTCCATATTCCATATTCCATATTCCATATTCCATATTCCATATTCCATATTCCATATTCCATATTCCATATTCCATATTCCATATTCCATATTCCATATTCCATATTCCATATTCCATATTCCATATTCCATATTCCATATTCCATATTCCATATTCCATATTCCATATTCCATATTCCATATTCCATATTCCATATTCCATATTCCATATTCCATATTCCAAATTCCATATTCCATATTCCATATTCCATATTCCATATTCCATATTCCATATCCCATATCCCATATTCCATATTCCATATTCCATATTCCATATTCCATATTCCATATTCCATATCCCATATTCCATATTCCATAACCCACATTCCACAAGAGAGAACATAGTCAGTCGTCTCTGAAGCTATTAATATTCTCTCCAGAAATACTAGAAACTCGTAACAAATCCCAGAAATTGTCATGTATCAATAATTGATGATATATCATCGAGAAGCTTTAATTACATAAAGCCACAAGGCTTTGTCCCAATGAGTACGCCTCAAAGTCGCATCGACTTGGGTCAGCCACACACATCCCTACTCAATATGGATATCCATGGACATATTTTGGTAAATAGTTTTCGGCAAATATATTATTGTGAATATATTTCATGTTTGAATGCATCGAATGCATTCGATTGATATTCGAAACGAGTTGCAATACGCAATAATGAGATGACCACAAGAGTTGCGATTCCAATGGACTGTGGCTAACAAATGTTAGTTGGTTATCAGCATAATTACACACACACACACAAACACACTCACACACACATTCTCACATAGAGTTCTACTATGGGTTGATATAGTAATTCGATATACTCGTAACAATTGCAAGTGTTCGCACTTAGCTCGCATTTAAGTTAATATTAGAAAGTGAGATATGCATTTGTGTTGGGCGTCGATTTGCAAATTATAATTGAGGCAACATCAGCAGCTGCTGCAGCAGTAGCAGCGCCAATAGCAGCGCAACAACAACAGCAACAACAATCAACGACAACAGCTCGGAAGATGCTTTTATTGTCTTGCCCAAGGGTCAGAGTGAATGGCAGAAAATCTGTCAGAATATGTGCTTAGAGATGGTCGTGTGACACGAGACAAGTTGGCAATGGGTTGATAGAGAATTATATCTACCTATATCTATCTATATCTATCTATCTATATATGTATCTCTTTCTATATCTATCTAAACGTATATATATAAGATGTATACTAGAATTGATCTTTGCTTTACGGTTTCGCTATCAAGCGAAATCCATTTAATAATCTCATCGCGATTTCGTTTGAGAAAAGTCCAAGTTCAACTCTAACTTTTTAATATAAAATGAAAAATATTTCTGATTTGCTGATATTTCTTAAATTAATTCATATATAGTATTATAATATAGTACGATAGTTATTAAGATCTTTTTCTATTTTTCTCATTCATATAGAAATTCAGTCAATATATAATTTCCTTTTTAAATATAACTCTCACATTCTGGCATGATTTGCTGATATTTACCAGATAAAATATTCAACATTTTGTCGTATGTTATTTCCTGAAATATTCCAGTGCGATAGTTGGTAGACCCTTGCTCTCATCGTGTCACGAGGCTCAGCTCAGCTCTGATTGCTCATCAGATCAGAGTCAAACTTTGTGTTGAAACTGCTTCAGCAGCCACAGGGACAGACGCTTACATATAAGCATGGGCACAGATGGACGCACACACATACACTAACACACACTCATACACACATTAACACACACTCATGCAAACACACAATCATAGAAGCAGGCACAGGCAGCATGCCCATAGATAACCCTGGACACACACACGCTTTATCTCTCACTCTCACTCATACATACATTCTCATCCACATACACACACACGTGTATATTCATTGCAAATGGAGCGTCAAGTACAGGAATTGCTGAAAATTTAATTTATGCCCGGCGCTTTCAATTGAGGCACGGCCCGTCGAGCAACAATAGCTGGAAATTAACAGGCACAAAAGCCTCGGGCCCGGATCAGATCTCTTGCTCTTGCGGCTGCATAGCTGGAGACGTCTCTTGTGTAGCAGGAGCCGCAGCACCACAGTCTCTAGTCAATGCGTTGTCCAATAAGTGTGCCGCTGCCGCTGTTGCTGCTGCTGTTGCTGCTGCATTTCCATTCTTTCAGTTTTTGGTCGCTTAATTAATATTGCATAAGTGCAGCGGCAGCAGGACATGGCGGCAGCTGTTGTCCTTTATGAGCATGCGGCACAGCCAGCAACATGAGCGTGAATTTATGCGTTGCATTTTACTTTTGTATGCTCATGGGTGTATATATGTATCTGTGTCTGTATCTGTGTTGTCCTTCAGTATTTATGATGTGCCCATGATTGATGTCCATTTTTGCACTTCAGAGCAATCCGCGCATTTTTATGCAAATAGCAATGGGTCGGCGCGCAAATTGCGGTTCCATTGTGTCTGCTGCTTGCAAGTG